GAACCTGCTTCTTCGTCCTTAAGCGAATTGTCCGGGAACTCTGGAGTAAGTTGACCTGCATTGGACCCCCTTCTTCCCCGAATGTACACACGCGTCTCCTTTGCTGTCGCCAGTGCTTCAAGTTGTTCTTCTGGATGAAGAAGTTCAATCACCCCACCTTGAAGCGGACCTGCGTGAGTTGCAATGATGAGATCGTGTCCTCTCTTGACAAGGGCCCTTTGCTACTTGAAGAAAAGCAATGCGAGGTGGCAACCACGAAACGATATAAGAGTGCTGCTGGAAAGGTTAAGTTTTGCGGCACTGGTGCTTTAAAATCGACCCAGCTTCTTGGCAAAAAAGGCTGTGGTTTATCTCTTCCAGTGTGGGAGTGTGTAGGTTTCTTGTTTGACCTGCTCAGGACATACACACCTCAATTTGCAAGAGCAGTGGTGCAAATGCTCCCATCCCTGCAATCCACAAGGAGAAACTTGACAATTGAGGCTCCCTAGCTTTGACATTCGCTGATTGCACGGTGTGTCAAGGTGGCCCAACCCAATTTGTTGTCCTCGCGACTTGCCGCCCAGGTAAGCCCAGAAATGACTCTCTCCGAGATGTTTCGGCAAATGCCATGGACTTTATGGGAAGACGCGGCCCTGGATTCTACTTTGCGTTACGTGCGTGGCAGCAAATCCCTGCGCATTCCTCTTGAGTTCAGGGAACTTCTCCCAACTCACCTTTAATGCAAGACTTGCAGAAATCGTAGCAGAACAGTTGCAAACCTGCTTTATGTTGAAGTTCTATGATCCCCCAATGTTTTGGCAGCGGCGTTTTTACCCAATCAAACGGCGTTTTTTCGCGATCAAACGGCGTTTTTACCCGATCAGTTTTTTTTGCAGATTTGCACTGTTCCCGGAATAAGGGAACCGCAATCAATAGCGTTGCAAACTGGGGGGCTGGCGCTACAAGGGTGCAAAAGTGCGCATGTGCGTGCCCGAACCTTGCACTGAGCAGTTGTTCATGCCAAAAGCGTGTTGCGGCTAACCTGCTTGCTTCTGCCGTTTGCGTTTGGCAGCGCTCACGGGTTTTGCTGCGCAATGGACGCGAAACTCCCTAGCCGGGCTTGGACCACTACATCGTTTGATCAAGGGCTGGCGCTTGTAGCGAATTGCTCAGCGATGATGACAACAGGGGCTGCCCATTCCCAGTCAGAAGAGGAATGCTTGGCTGCAGAGCTACAGGCACGAAGGGCAATGCGAAAACGGTGAAATGGCCCCCACAACTTTCGTAGCTTGGTGAATTCACTGGACTTTTGGGTGGTTTAGTTTTGCTCTTCTAGATTCCTTGATTTTCGACACGAGAAGACTGATTTCAAGGGCCCACCCATGCTGGTATTCCCTTGCAGGGAAACAACAAATTGCAACTGCCTCCTCGCACCAAGAGATTGCAAAAGCCAATCTAACAAGTGCCTTTTTTCATGGGGAAACCACCAAAGAAAAAGGACAAAAAGGCACTTTGTTAAGTTGATCCGTGTTGGCAACTAAAGGCTTGCTTCGAGACCGACAAGGGGCGCCACTTTTGAAATCATCGCCTTGCAGCTGGAAACTGTATGGTTGCAATTTGGACCCCCAAGGGTGCAAACAAACTCCCTTGCTGCCGGAAAGTGGGGGCTGGGGTGATTCTGTTGGGAAACTGGCCAGGCTTGTAACCAAGTGCATGAAGGGGCCCGTATTCCCTGGTTCTCCGCAACTTCATCCCGTAAGTCTGTAGCTAACAAATTTTCAAAGACCAAGAACAATTCTTTGCCCAGAGGCGTTGGAGAAGTGGTTGGCCAATCAGCCTGCTGAACACCGACCTGTGGCAACCCCAGCCCGCAAGCCTGCTCCGTCGCCCCAGCCATTGCTAGAGACAGCCTCCTCGAGTGCGGGCCCAACTCTAGAGAAGGAAACAATTCCTGCGAGTCATCATGAGTTGGAGGGCGACCTGTCGCCCTCGGATGTGGACATCCCACACCCAACCCCCAGTCAAAAAGGTCGCCCAGTGGATTCTGTGGTGGAGGTGGACAACACGCAACTGATCCCGCCCACCCGTGAAAGCGCTGACTTGAGGCGAGCCATGTCCGAAAGGGTGTTCAATAGCCCCTCTCCGATTCCCATTGAGACCGTCCCTGATGAAACAGAAGAACGTGAGCTTCAGGAAACACAAGAAGAGCTTGAGGAAGAGGTTGACGACTTGGACATTGTTCCTGATATCAACAATAAGGCCGCCCCCCGCCCAGTTCTCGGAGCTCCTCAGATTTCCGAGGCGGCCGTCCGCCAGAGGGCGGCCAGGTGAAAATGGTCTTACCTATCCACAGGTTAATCATTGGTTTATTTGCCTGGGATGTAAGTCTCCAATTGTCTTCCAAAATGTCTGGATCTCCACCTGCGGATGCATCAAGTACGTTCTCGGCTAATGTGATCAAGATTGATTGGACATTCCTTGGCTCCATTTGGTGCGAACAGCGCCTTTCGGGGCGTGATGTGCGCACGGATGAGCTGCTTGTTCTTCTTGTCAAGGATCCAATGATCCTGCTTTTGAGACCCAATGATCTTAGGAGTTGCTAGGTCCTCCTTTGTCTCGGATGATTTTGCTGCACAGACCGTTTCGCTGTTGGTGAGATCCCCGGAGGGAAACTTGATGCTGTTGTCATCGTCATAGACATAGTTGATGAGGCCCTTGTGAGCAATTTCTCCATGCGCATTCACTCTTGCAACTCCAGCGAGATCGACGAGTGCATGTCCTGTACCGGATACTGGAACTGCTTGACGGTTTATGGTAAAGGCCTTGCATGTGATCTTGTCACATTGAGGTGTGTGCTCGATGGTCATGTAGAGGTTCCGCATCTGGCTGATGCTGAGAAGGATTGGTACAGTTCCTTGTTCAAGGACGTCGATGTTGGTACTGCACGGAGGAGTTGCGTGATATCGAAGATGCAGGGTCCAATTTACCCTGGCGGTCTCTCCGTTTGCAAAAGTGAACTTGGTCTCGGCCGGGAGTTACTCATAGGAGATGATGTCCTTCATTGGTTCGATTGCCTGGGTAAAACGCTGGATTGCATCACAGCTGCCCATAGATCTGGTACATCCATTGTCCAGAATCGCATAGGTCGGGTTGTGCTGAGGGTTGATGACAGGCACCATCAGCTTTGTTGCCAAAAGGCTGTGATTTGTTGTTGCAGACAGATTGTGTTCTGAAACTGTATCTGATTGGATCAGCTTCTCGTGGATGGCCTTTTTCCCAGGATGCTCGGATGAGTACCAGCCTTGTTCATTCCATGTCCATGATTGATCCCAATCTTGGTCTGTCCAACCGGCATAGGCAGGCTCTATGGATGGTGCAGTCTTTTCTGCGGTGGCTGCGAACGTCTTGGATTTTCCTTTCTCCTGTCCGCTCTTTCCTTTACCACTCTCATAGGATGGATAACCTTTGTTTCCATCATAGGGATATTGGAACTTTGATTTTCCTTTCTTTCCCTTCTTTCCCTTGCCTTTTCCCCAACATGCCTGGTCGTAGGGATCATAGTTTTCGTTGGCCATATTGGCCTTTCCGCCAGAACCGCTTTTCCTGAAGGGTTTAAAGCCACCTCGTTGGTGACTGCCCTTTTTGTTTCCTGATTTTCCTTTTCCTTTTCTCTTCTTGAACTTGAAGTTCCGCCCCGACACTTTTCTTGCTATGAACGCATCGTTCTCCTCGAGGATCCAGAACGTCTCTTCATCGTTGTTTGACATGAATCCTTCAAGTCCTTCTTCATCCTCAACTCAGAAGCCTTCTTCTCCTTCGTATTCACCTTGTTCGATGATGAAGAATGTGTTGCGTCGGCTGCCTCCTTGAAGTCGGATGGATGGATCTTGGATCGATGTCCTCGTCGTGATGAAGAGTTCAGGGTAATGCGTCTTCAGCATCTCATAAGCATAATTCTCAAGTGAGATGTTTCTTAATGACATTGCACTTGTCAGTCTTTGTCGTTGCTGATCTGACAACTCACTTTGAATAATGAAAAACTGTGCAATGAGATTATCCCCGAAGGGAAATGCGTCCCGCTGTCTGTCCTGCATTCCTTGGATATACTGTCTGAGGACTGTCGGATCGTCCTCATTGAGCAGGGCTGGAGGCGGTGCTCGAACACCGGCTGCTTGCTGATGTCGAGCAATTGTTCTTGCATTTGCGTCCTGCACGGACTGTCGAAATCATGGAGACTGTGCCGTAAAGATTGGCATCAAGTCCATCCATGCTGCCTTCAATTGAAGAAACTGAGGAGTCTGTACAGATACACGTTGGTCGCACCTTTCAAAAAGTACTTCTTCAGCGCCTTCAGCAGGATCTTGCAAAAGATCATTCTGGAGGACGGCCTTGTACATGTAAGCATCTCCCGTGAGTCTGCTCTTAAGCAATGGACCTCGCTTGGATGCTTCTACTGTGGTGATGGTCACCCAGTCGTCCACGAGTTCCTCGTACCTGAGCCAGCTGACTTTTCCGTCGTACGATGGCGGCTGCTTGGCGGTCATCGATAAATTTAGTGTTTCCTCCGTATAGCTCGGCTTTCACATAGGCTTCCATGAAGCAATCTCCATCGGATGAAAACCCGCTCCGCTACCACAAATTGAGGCCCACTGCCCCAGGTGCCTATCCCCGGAGGGAACTGGAACCCTGTGGTAGCTGAGGTCGTTGTTGGTCCCTGGATCTATTCCGGAGAGAGTCCAATATGCCAGTAATGGATGATTGGAGGATGGATTGTCCCTGGTAGATTGTCTTGTGGATAATCCTGTAAGCGGCCTGCTGAGGCTCTTTTGTCACACGCTCGGATGATTGTGTTTCTACAAACGGGGCCCTTGAGCCAACGTTGCGGGAGATCAATGGTCTGAAAAACAACACAGGGGGGCCCTTTATTAATCAAGTGCCAACATTAAGTTGGTTGAACATTCAAATTGTGGTTGGACACAGATGAAAAGGCGACGGTGGAAAGTCTGTTGAGCTGATGCCAGGGCCAGTCTGCGAATTCTGGGGCCAGAGCGACAGGCGGGCGAGGGATGCCGCGTGGACTTGAAGGAGTTTGTGTAGGGCGCTTTCTACCATGCCTTTGAACGGGGAATCTGGGATATCCCACCTTTCCCATTTTGAGTTTTTTTTTGAAATGCCCTTTGGAGTTTATTGAAAAGTGAAACCCATGGCAAACCACACCTTCGGGTCCTCCAAAACAAGAGAGAGGGGGAGAGAAAAGAAAGCAGAAACATGTATTTGGGGTAGCTTGTTGAATGCAGGCCCACTTCAATACTGCGATGCGGAGCTGTGGAAGTTGCTTATGCGGACGGGGAGATTCCGAATTGCCTTGAGTTGCTTCTGTTCTCGAGTCATGTCTAGAGATTGTGCAGCCATTTGGAGGAACCAATGGCAGAAAAGTAAGGAAAGCTCCTTGCAGCATGTTCCAAGCACCTTCGTGTATGTCGAGCATTGCCAATTGATTGCCTCCAGAATGGTTGTTCCTCGAGCATTTTTGACATGTGGTTGCAGTTTTATGTTACAGAGCGACAAACGTACAGATTGCATTCGCAAATTCGCCGCATCATTGTGGTCATCGCCTCGAACAGTGAGCTTTCCTTGTGCCAGAGGCACAAGGAGAACGCACTTGAGCAGAGCCCTAAGGGCTCGCTCACACGCGATGTGAATTCGAGTTCTCATTACAGAGCGTGGGACATCGATTTGAAGCCTTGCGTGGCAGAGTTGCCCGGGAAAGTCTTGAGGGACGAATCCAAAGGAGGGTTCTCAGACCCCAAAAATCCCGCAAGAAGGCGCCTTCGGATCGGGGGGGCATGCGGGTTTTTCCCCGAGACGTGGGGTGCGAGGTGCGCATGAGGCAAGGTGCTGCGCAAGTGAGTGCCCCAAGTGGCGCAACTTGCCTCAAGTGGTGAGACATAGTGCACCAAGTGGCAAGAGCAGCGTGTTGGCCATGGTGCACCAAGCGTTTGAGACAGAGGGTGAATGAGGAGCCAAGCGCCAAGCGATAATAAGCACGTCGTAATACACAAATGGGATTGTGCCCAAATAGTGCAAGGCCCGAAATGATTGCTTTCCTTTTGGCTTCCCATGGAAAGCAAGCCCTTTCGGGCACAGCTCGATTTAATCCACGCCTCGACAAGCAGCATGCCTTCCATGGACTTCCATCGCCCTGAGAACGGCAACGCCATCCTCGCGAGGCGCGCTTCAAGCGCGTTTTCGTGCGGCGCGAAGATCCGGAAATCACACGAATGCGCCCGCTCCCGACAGGGCAGTCCTGCTGCAGTGCAGACTGGTGGGAAATGAGTTCGCCGGAGCCACAGATTTGTTTGAGTACAGAGCACAGAACCGATGGCGCGTTATCCCAAACTCACACCAAGCCATGCACATCACCTGTTCTGCGACATGATATCCTCCGTGCCACGGTTTACCACATCATATGGCATGATGCCTCATGGCGCGCGAAGCATGATGTCATAATCATCATGCCTAATATCCACATTTATGACGTAGGCTGGTATCCACATTATGACGTAGCCTGTAATACCGCATCATATGCCGAGATGGCACGGCGCATCTCGCTTCCCACCATTACATTAACGTGCTAAGCACGGCCCAACAAAAGGTCGCGTGGGTTTGGGGGAGTAGGCGGTTTGATCTGTTAGCCACATGCACTCAGGTTGACCCTCCACACGTGTCACGCATCGCATCTCAGGGCTTGTGGCACGCCATATCAACAATTTATCAGGTCACAGTATTCCATATTATAATTGCATAACAGTAAGTACAGTATCACAATCAACAAATCATGATAAACAGACAAACATCATGTCATTACATCCCATTGGCATTGCATAGCATGTGGGTGCACATATGAGATCAAGGGAAGCCGTGCGAGATGAAATGTCACGAATCTCATACGGTTCATGTCTTATCATGACTTCGGTCTTGTCACATGTCAAAGCAGGCCATGGCATCTCATGCCACATCTCACTCACGCACACAACATGGCATCCTGTGCTTTCTGTCACACTGCATTTTGTTGAGCGAAGAACAGAATCACGTGCTGAACAGAAATAATCATACCATGCTATAATCTTAATAGTCTCAGAGTGTGCCTGAGGATGAGACTCTCCAGCGAGACTTCCGCTGGGCAAAGTCCGAAGCATTGAGGCTTGCCGGGGGCAACTCATTCGCTTGCGGCAACATTCCGTGATCGACTCAAATTCCAACTCTACCCTCACCTCTCAATCCACGATTTGGGCAGCAGGAGCAACATTCGAAGAATCCCTTCGTTTCCTTTTGTTTCCTTTTGTTTTCCTTTAACAACACCAAAAGGAGGTGCACCGCATTGAGAAACTCCCGTGTCAATGTGAGAGGTACGTCAGCCCTGACGTGGTCAACGGCGTGTGCAAGCTCGCGGAGCTCATTTTTCAGAAGGCGGCGAAGCTCCGCAGACAGTTGGCTAAGGGTTGTTCTATTACACCCTGAGACTACAGCAGGGTGACACAGTACATGGAGCAATTCCATCATTTTTGTTGATGCCCACATAAAGGGAGTCGTGGCATTTGGGACATTCATGGGAAGTCATCCAAAATGGTCCTTAAAATAGCACGACGTTATGTTGACACCACACACAATTGAGTAATTTGCCCGGGCGTAGTCACGTGTTGAGCCGGATGGAGCCAGCAAGTCAAGAGAAGCTGCACAGCTGAGCCTCAAGTCGGGGGGTCTTATGCCAACTGCATCGCATGACACACTTTCTCTGGATTTGGTCAGGATCCAAGTGGTTCCTTGGTGGTCACTGACCAGGATTTTTACTGTCCAGCGGATGGCCAGATTCTTTCAACGATCATGTGACTAGATTTACTGCACATGGGACTCATGTTAGGGTCCAGGCGACTTGCTCAAGCTGCTCTTTGGGCTCCCTCAGGCTCTCGGCGCCATGGCCAAGCGCCCCTTGGAGGGCGAGGCCGCGCCGCCTTCAGCGCCGAAGGCGGCGCGGCTGAAGCAGGCGACCCTGGGCTTCGCGCGGCGCCCTGCGACGCCGCAGGGCGAGAGCTCGGAGGAGGGGCAGTTGGGGTGGAGGGAAACTTATGCAAACCAAGAAGAGCCATAAGAGCCAATTGAAGGAGCCGATTGAGCGATTGGAGCGATTTTTCTGGAGCCAATTCCATTTTTGGTGTTTTGTTTTTTGGGAGCCCTCCTTTGGAACTTTTTTTCCCGGTTTTGGATTGTTTTGGTCAAACAAGGTGAGCCTTGAACATGTCCGGAGGACCTGTCGGTGCTGCAAAGCCACTGGCTCCCCCGACTGGGCCAGGGCTGGCTGACAGCGCTACTCTCAGAGCTGAGGAGAGCGAGCGGATGCTTCATTTGAAGAGAGGGCGGTACAGGAATTTGACAACGTCGTGCCTCTGTTTGAGGCATTGCTTAAACTTTATGGGGGAGAAGGTTTCGTAAAAGTCGCGGCTTTTCGCCATACGCATCATACGCATATAGGTAGTACTGACTCCCCCTGTTTGTGTTCAAGGGAATCTTTCACTGGACGGTTTTTTGTTCCAGGTGCTTAAGCAAATGGAGTGACACGGATGCTTAGTCCCTCAGTTCCTGGACTTAATGTTTGGGTTTGGACATTTTAGTGGCAAGCAAAAGTTTGGTTGCTTTGTTTGGCCACTCCATTCGATCGGAAGGGAGATTATATAGTTTGATCTTTGGACGTTGACTTGTTGGTGCAGCTTGTTTTCACTCAAGACCAGTGATTCCATTCTACTTGTTAAAAGTAGGTAACCAAAGGAGCCACCCAATAGAAACATCCAAAGGACATTTGGTGGTGACCAACCACTGGGAACAGCCACAAAATCCATACTGAATAGATGCCAGTATGTCTGGTTAGATGCTTCGGTATCTCGTAGCAGCAACACGATTCGGAAGCAACAGGTTGGACGGCCATCCATGATCCAGGAGGGTATCCCTAGCCCTTTTGCCCTTTTGCGTTGGTTGGTATCAGTTGTTCTCAATCACGCGTTGAAATTGGTTGAGGTCCGGCTGATGTTTAAGCCTGAGTTGTTCAGTGTCATCATTTTCTATTTCTGTCCACGTTTGTTTGGTTAGTCCCTGCTGAATGTTGCCAACACCCAAACGGTTCCCTTGAAAAACCGGAGAGAAGCTGGGACCAGGGCGCTCATCACAAGGCTTGGTTTGATATCCCAGTTCCATTTTCCCATCCCCAATGGACCCCGCCTTTGACTACCAAAGGAGGCACAAAGGCAGAAGGAGTCCTTTGGGGGGTCCAGGCGTGGTTTTTGATCAGCGTCAAACGGCTTTCTTATATTTTTTGCGAACCTCCCTGCGACTCCAAACGCAACAAGCTCACCCCAGCGACTTCAGGAGACCCTCCTTGCAGAAGGCGCTCCAAGAGGTGGGACAACCCCGAAAGTGGCAAACTGGGGTTCACCCTTAGTTGGTTTGGATTTGTGCTTTGGGGATTTTGAACCAGGGTAACTGGGAAACCACCCCAAACCTCCAAACCACCAATCTAAATCGCTTATTAATCGCGGGTAAGGTGAACGCCGCTTCCGTTCAGAAATTGGATTCCTTCTGCCAATTCCCATGGTTGTCCTTTGGCCTTCCCTTTCGACCAAGGTGAGAAGGACAACCTTTTGCCTCCAAAGAACCTGGACCCTCAAAGGACATTTGTTGTTTGCAGGCCTTTCTACCACTTTTTTTGGGGGTCTGAGGCAGGAAGAAGGAATCGGTCCATTGGGGTCTTCAAGACAGCCCCAGGTGGAGGAGAAGCGCGCATCGCAAGTGGTGTTCCCGCCTCCGGACTTGGTCTTCCGCGCCTTTCTGGCTACGCCCTTGGACAAAGTGCGGGTGGTGATCGTGGGGCAGGACTCGGGAAGGCAAATGGAGAAACCTCTCAAAGAGGGTGGGAAGACAATGTAACTCATGTCTTTTTGATTCCAATTAAGAAACTAGACTCACAAGGTTGCCAATTTCTGTGATGCTTTTGGGGACTCCCCGAAGTGATAAAGTATATGGGAATGTCACTTATCACAGAAAATTATGATTTTCCGCAAGCACACAACTGTGTGATTGCAAATTTGGGAATGAGCTACAACCAGACATATCCAAACCCGTTTCGGTTTCCTTGAGGGACAGCCAGCCAGCGTTTGAATATTGAGGACCGACAAGCCCTGAAAACAACCAGAAATTCTGGTCTGATTCTGGGCTGTTCAAACAATATGGGTCGTTACATGGGGGAGCCCAACCTTTTGGTTTTTTGGGTGGAACCTGAGACAGGCCTTTTTTGGGGGGACCCCGAAAATTTGCGGTTTCCCATTGGTGTCCCTTTAAGAGCACCCCCAAGACAGGTCCCTCAACAAAGGACACACCCATATTGGCTTGCTGGTTAAAATCGGGCGTTGCCAGCGCACCACCAACAAGACTGGGTACCCTCGGATTTGAGTCCTGCAAATTCGCATGGAACCACGACAACGAGTCCCCCCCTGTCAAAGGAGATTCCGCATCAATCCTTTTTGGCTTTGTCTGTTTTTAAATGCCCATTTCACCTGGGTTCAACTGGAAGATGGAAAGCCTATTTTGACACCAAAAGGAAGCCAAAAGCAACAACTGCACACATTTTGGCGGGTGTCCCTCTGGTTTTTTACAGAGAAACCTCCAGGACCACCTCCCCGCTTGGCTTCGCGAGTCTCGAATGTCGAATCGAAGCCGCAGGACCCCTACCACGGCCGAGGCCAGGCCATGGGTTTGTCCTTCTCGGTGCCTCGCGGTGCGGCGGTGCCGCCGAGTCTGCAGAACATGCTGCGGGAGGCCGGAAGCGAGGGGGGGGGGGGGGCTGGCTGGGAAGCTGCGTCGAGGGAGGGGGGGGGGGTCGTCTGAAGCTTTTCTTGTCGACGTCCGGGTGCGTCTGAAGGTCTGATCTTAGACCTCCGGGTGCTTGCCCTTTTGATTTCCCACCGGTGAAGAGAGTTTAAAGAGGCGGCATTTTTGGGGTTGTTATTTTTTTAGACCCGCCCCAAAAAAGGGGAGGGGGGGGCTTCCGTTGGCTGGGTGCTGTCTGGTGGCGCGTCCTTTGTTTAAGGAGTGGGACCTGCAAAATGGTGTGTGGGTTCCGTTGAGTTGCCTTTGAATCCCACAAGAGGGGACCATGAAACATGCCATTTGGGTGGCTCGTTTTTGTGTGAGTGAACCCTCAAAATAGGGGAGCCTTTTTGATGGGAAACCAAAAGGAAACAGCTCTTCTCAGGGGTTCTTCGGCCTCATGTTTGGCACCGCTCATCGCTTCTTTCATCACCGCCGAAGCTCTACCCCCCAATCCTTTTCAAGAAGTTAGGGATCTGTTTTGCCGACTTCTCCATGTGTCCCAGAATGCATCATTTGGAGCCCCGAGTTCCCACCAAGAAATGCCAGCCCAAAACCCTGGCGAAAATTCGGAAGGACCGATTTGGAAGGCTTCGATATGGCCTGGGACCTTCCATGTTGCGGAGGCTAAAGGAATGAGGATATTTTCTAAAATTTGACCCTGCGGTTCAGGTACCACCCTCAAAACAATGGGGTTCAGACAACCACCTTTTTTTTACCAAAGGATTGTCATCATCCAAGTTTTGGTCGGGTTGAACCCTAGGGTTTGAGCCAGCCAGAAAGGCACTTGGGCTGGTTAAGGAGCCCTTCTGAACCGCGGTTTATCCTGGCAACGACACCTTCTGGTATCGCAAGGGTAATTGTCCACGTGGTTCAACCCCGTGGCTTTTGTGGTGATGGTTTACCCCATCCTTTTGGTTTCCCCTTCAATCCCCTGTTCAAGCCGTGGTGTTACTAAACCACAGATCTGCTTAAGCAACCTCCTGGTTGTTCTGCCTAAGGGAACCAAGGCCCCCTTCCTTCGACACGGTGAACAACAGATTGGTACAACCTCATGCTGATTCTCCTTTCGTCCAAGGGGCCCGGAGTTACTCACTTGAATCGCCTCCGTTTGGTCCAGGGTTTCAAAGGGGCCATCCCCTTTGAACATGTTTAGGTCCCCCATTAGTGCCCCGTTACCCTTTGTTGGGGAGGGTTCCCCTACTAAAATAGACTACAAAAAAAGGGTACCCTTATTCTAACCCCTCTACTGGGCCTAGATGTTTAGAAATTGAAACCAAGGTGGTTCCCTTTGGTCCACTCCAACAGCCGCAGGCCAATGCGTGGCCCGCCCCTCACGGCGATTTGACCAGCTGGACGGAGCAGGAGCGGGCCAGATGATACTTTTTGGCCCGAAGTGAGCTTCTTTTTGTTGATGTTTAAAGAGGAAACATAGGGAACCTGTAGTTTGAAATATGGGTGTGGGTCAAAATTAAACCGCCAGGGGACCACAGGTTTTAGTCCTTGGTTTCATTTACCAGGGTTCCATTTTGGCTACCCCTTTTTGACCCACAGCCATATGTTCAGTTTCCCTTTAAATCTTACTGAGTACTGAGCCTCAACCAAATATTTGATCACACCTGCTAACTTGAAACACAGAGTCTCTATTTTTGATGGGTTCCCTTGTGCGTCTATGACCGAATCCCTCAGGAAATGGCAGCAATGTTCACAGATGGAAATTCAAAGGGCACCCCTTTGTTTGGGTTTGTGGTTTTTGAGACCCCCTTTTAGTGGTGAAGGAAAACCAAAGGGAAAGCCATAATTTTTGGGGGCCAACCGTAAAACATCGCAAAGCAAGAACAGACATACCCATGTTGGGTTAAAACCGATAAAGCCATTCCCCGATTTCTGGGGAGAACATTCAAGGGACGCCATGGCAAACGGGCAAACGGGTAAGCGCCAGGGCGTGCTGCTGCTCAACTCCGTGCTTTCCGTGGCACAGGGGCAGCCCAACTCACACAAGGCGTGCGATGAATTGAAATGGCTGTTTCTTTCTGAGGGAGCCTCCTGTTGCTTCGTTTTAAGGCAAAGTTCGAGGGAAATCCACAACTTTCTCTGAAATATGCAAAACGATGGTTGCTCCTTCCCTAAGAATCTTGAGATTTCATCGAAATGGTGGCGTTTTGAGGTCCGAAACCTTCCAAACGTCCCTTTTCCCATGTCCAATGATAGTTGTGGTTTTCCTTGGACCAAGTGGTTTGGTTGTGTACACCTTGAAGTGTTCAATTCCTTCATGTAGTGTGGGTGTGTCTTTCTCTTTAGGGGACACCTCCAAATTGTGTTTCTCTATTGACTTTCAAAGTTTAAAGCCACCCAAAAAGGGGGCACCCTCAAGAAGGACGGACCCGTCAAATGCGCGAAACAGTCACCTCCAGGGGTTCAACCCTTTGGTTTCACGCAAGGGCCTTGGCTGGGAGCGCCTCACCGACGCCGCCATCCGCGCGATCAACAAAGAGCGCCAAGATGTGATCTTCCTCCTCTGGGGCAAGGACGCGCGCCCGGGTTCAGCGATTTTCAACCTAGTTTTGTGCATGTGAGCGCCGAAGAAACAAATCTCACCAGCTCCCAAGTCCCAACTTGCATGATTTTTCAATCATGCCCAACAGCCCAAGTGCGGTAACCAAAAGCAGTGGTCGGGGACCCCGGTGATGGCAGAAGGGCCATTTGTCAGTGGGTGGTGAGAGGTTCCCACCTCAGTTCATGGTGCAGTTAAAAGTTAAAAGTCAGGCCAGGTTTTGGACGCTCATGTTTACAAGCATTTTTAAACCACTAAACCGGTTGAGCCAAATCTCCCTTGGGCTTGAACGGCGGCCATGCAGTGCTGCAGGACGCACAGAGCAAAGCCAGCCTGGTGGATGGCTCGTACCGTGGGCGCAAACTTGAGCCCATACATGGCTGTGGGGCAAAACCAATGGTACCATTTTGGGGTAGGTGCACCACCCATGTTAGCCTTGTTTAGTGGGGATTGGGATGTTCAATGGAGGTACGGGAGTTTGACCCATGGCCACATACCCGAAAAAGTTTACATACCACATCTATAGCCCGGGGTTCGAGCGGGTCCCATGAATAGAATGGTTGATCCAATGGATGATGAAACTCCTTTGGAAAATAGGTGGGGTTATATCACCCCCCTGTGTTTCAATGGTGTTTGAACGCCAGGGCATAGGCCTTGTTGTGGCGGTACCCTGTAAAGAGCAATAGTATAGCCACTAATTTGGGGTATGTCCATTTGGGGCACGCATATTGGGCCTTAGACTTTTGGGTGTTGCCGCCGAGTTGGGTGCTTCAAACATCTTGTAGGTGTGTTCCTCAAATTGACCCGAACAGTTCGGTCACTCTTGGCCAGTCCACTTTGGTCAGACTCAGAAAACACAAAAGTTCAATTTGGAATTTGGAGCCCCCAAAGGTTTCCTATGAGTTCACTACCCATCTTGGGCTTGAATTCCTCAAGAACGAACCCCAAGTTGGAGCCCCTGTTTCTAAGGGATGACCCCTAGACTGTTGTTGTTTTTTGTTATTCCCTAAGGGTCCGATTCGACTGTTTTTGGGCCCTCCAAATGGGTTGTTGTTTTTCGGGCCCTTGAGGAATTGCTCGGGGTTCTCCATTGGAGGGTCCATGGGGTCTGGAGGGGTCATGACCCTAACTTGATTTCACCCAGCTGAGCGAGTTCGAAGGCACGTGGTGCTTATCGCCGGTCATCCCTCGCCCTACAGCTACGAGAGGCCGGGGTTTACATGGTGAAGCTGTGGATGTGCCTTTGTTAGGCAAACCCCAAAGTGGGTGCTTTCCTTTTTGGCTCAGACAACCAATCAAAAGAATACCCTCAAACAAAGACACACTCATGTGTCAAACTTGCACCGCAACAGGGTATGTGTCAATAAAAGGGCCCAACCACAAACAATTGGTGTTTTCCTGTTTCTTTCCCTCGAACCTGACCCAAAAGGATCAAATAGAACGACGTCCCCGAAACTAGGGCGTTTGCGACGTCCATGATGGAGGTGTCTTTCATAGGGATCCCAATTTTGGGGGGAGTCCTAGAATCAATTGCCCAGATGGGTTCCAAGTTTCTAGTATGTGTTATTTGGGAGGGACATGGCAAAACGAACTCAAGACCAAAACCACGGGATGGAACTCAAAATTTCCCATGTCCTCTTGGCCACAATTAGAAGTTCGGAAGGGCCCCAGGCATAGATGGGAGAGATCCGGCGATCTCCGCCCTTAGATTCTTACATGTCGGGTGGGTAATTTAGCCCTGTTCAATACCAGGTTTTGATTCTGGCGTGTCTCAAAATGAGGGACCGGGCCCCTACAGGTGGTGGGTGTCCTTTTGGTTTCCCATCAAAACCCATCCCACACACTCAAACTCCCTGTTTTGAGACATGCTCATTTCAGCCCAACCACAACTAGGTCCCCCAGTAGTGCCCTTTTTCCCTTTTTGGGGGAGGGTTCCCCTATACTAAAATATACTGCGGAAAAAAAGGGTGCCCTTATTCTAACCTCTCTACTGGAGGAGCTAGACAAGAAAAGCCGCCACGACGAGAGGCACTTCAAAGGCTGCGGCCACTTCCAAAAGGTCAACGAGCTGCTGACCGCGCGGGGGGAGGCGCCCATCCGCTGGAGCCTGGACTGAGCGCAGGATTTTTCCGGCGAGGCCGGTTGAGAGATGTCCGGAGTTGTGGGACTTGGCCAGGCGATTTCGGGGTTGAAATTCCCCTCCTTGTAGGAGGTGTCAACATATTCGGATTCCGATTTGGGTGTGGCTCAAAAAATGAAACAGCGGTTACGCAAGTTTGAGTCTTTTCCATTTACCAAGGTGCCATGTTGGTCTACATTTCTTTGAGCCACATTTGGATTCGGCTCGCGGGTTGGTTCAAGGGCTCGGCTGTGGGGCTCCCGGCCCTTGAAGGGGGTGCAACGCGACGCGGAGAGAAGCAAAAAGCGCGCCAGGCTCCGCGGCGGGGCGTTTTGGTTGGTTTTGGTTTCCACATCAGCTGGTTTCTCTTTGAGATGGAACCCAGCAAAGCATCAGAACCCTCTGTTGTGGCAATTTCTTCTTGGTGCTCAATAAGTCCACAAAACGATCCGGTCATGGTGTCGCTTCGGGTTGGTGCCAGAGTTGTTGTTCCCGGGTCAGGTGTGTTTCTTTGGAGGGAACTCCCTGAAATTTGTTGGGGTCCCCTAAGAATCTCCAAGAAACTGGTGAGCCAATCGATGATAGTCAATCAGGTGTCAGTTTTAGCCTAGGGGTCCCGCTTGGTACACCTCGCGTCGCTTTAAGGCCCCAAACTCCATCAGGACCCGTTTAGGGTTTCTCTCAAGCCCTTGCTGGTGCTCAGTGGAGAATGTGGGAATGAACCCTGGGGTTCCCTTGGAGTAAATCACAAGGGATGCTTTATAGGGGTCATTCCCCTCATTCCCTGCCGACAGGTCTCCCTCGAGCGACATGCAGATCGGAAGCAGCCACTGGTGTTCCTGTGCGCTAAACCGCCCGCGGTTTGATTCATCGCGGGTTGTCGCGACCTGCACAGCCTTTTTTTTGGTTGTCGTGTTTGGTTTAATGTTGACCCCAAATCAACGGTTTTGATAGGGGCCCCTCCAAAAGTGGTCTGATTCCCCACTAAACCCAGGAACACCCCCCTATGAGTAAACTGCAGTTGATGAATATGGGGTAAACAACAGGTACAACTGTACTCTTGGCCTTCCGCTGTACCACTCTCGGCGGCTGGACCAGGACAGCGCTGACATGTGGGAAGGGGGGGGTGCAAAAATCATATTTTTCCTTGCAAACTTGGCATCGTTTGGTTGAATTTTTGTCTGACCGTTTTGGCTGCGCTCACATTCAAGATCTCTTAAACTCAGTTGGGGAGTTCTCCACTTTGTGGCTTCCCCGTTCGACCATGGGGGTCCAGAACTTCAAAGCTCATCACCTGGTCAGTGAATCAATCTAGAAGACCCAGACCGTCCAGACCCCTTCAACCCCCGGTTTTCCATGGCTCTAAATGCATCGCTATGAGCTTAGTAGCTCACCTTTTCATGTGTTTTTTCTATGCTGCTTGTGCTTCCCTCATTTCCCCCCCGCAAAACGCGACGCGGGACATTTTTTGCAGGGCTCAGTTGGGCGAGATTTCGACTTGCCAAATTCGACACGTCGCCGCTGGGCCCTCCCACCCACCCACCCACCCACCTGTCGTGTCGGGCCGCGCAACTGAAAACGGAAAACGGAATCGAGGAGGCTAAGGAGTTCCACGGGAGCGTCCTGAAGCCGTTGCTGGGAGCTGCCGACTCAGAGATCGAGCGCCAGAGCGAGCGCCAGAGCCCAAAATCCCAAGGTGAGATGGGGCTACCCAGTTCAATTGGGGATATAGTGTTAGTGCTATGATGAATCGGGGAGATCATGTTACATTTACATGCTATACATTGTACCTAGTTTCATTGGGGAGATAGTGAAGCCTATACACAGCTACTATGGTAGGCGCTGCTTCTTTGGCCCCTAACTTCAAGGTGTCAGGCCTGCATCTAGCTTCGGACATCCAGATTCTGACACCGTGGTGCCCGGATTTCCTGTTTAAGTGAACCACCCAATAAGACCCAATAAGAGAGGGTTTTTCCAGACCTGTTACCCTGAGAACAGTCACGGTTGCTGGAGCCAAAACAGCAACCGGCGATTTTGTACATCAGGTTTTACATGTTACTCCCCATGTTACTCCCCATGTTACTCCCCATGTTACTCCCCATGTTACTCCCCATGTTACTCCCCATGCATGGAGCACGGAGCGATAGCCCCAGGATGACGACATCGCCCAAGCGGTGTGGCAGGCCTAAAAAAAATGGGCGTGAGCCAAATTGCGGAGGAAACGACCAGACAAATGGCTGTGGGCCAAAACCAATGGGATCCCATTTTGGGGTAGGTGCACCACACATTTTAGAACCTATTTTAGTGGGGATTGGGATGTTCACTGGGGGTACGGGCTTTTGACCCATGGCCAAATTGGTCAGAAGAAGTGGAAACAGCTATTTTGAAGCAACAGTATTGGATGATACGTTGAATCAATGGTTCAAGGGAGATGCCCATGTCTATCAAATGGTTTGGTAAGTGAACTTGTTTTAGCTATTTGGAGCCATTTGGCAGCCAGGGATCCTGGCAGGAGGTTTCTTAGCAGATTCTCCATAAGCCATGCCTGGATCACCAAGTTGCGATCACTCTTTCCAGTCACTTTACCCTAAAAGGCCCAGTTCCGTGGAAGCGAACTGGCGAAGGTGGTTTGCACCGGTTCATCCCCCACCCGAAACTCGAGAACTCGGGCCGGGACGAGTCCCCGAGTCGGAAACTTCGAGGTGTGCTCGCGGAGCGCGTGGCTGGAGCAGAACACCCGAGACTGGGATGGGGTGTGGGCCTCGAGTCAGGTTTGGTTACGTGGAAAAGCCAACACAAAAACCATGGCCAGCACCCGGGCCCCAACTGCTGCTTGGGATTTTGGACGTGAGAAAGCAGTTTTTGTTTGTTTGTGCCGGAGAGCGGCCTCTTTTTTGATGGTAAAGGAACCTAAAGAGAAATCCTCTGTTTAAGGGGTGTCCTTGAAAAAAGACACCCATTTGAAGGGTAGTCTTGATGTCAGTTGAATGGAACCAAATTGTTTTTGCACTACTGGTGACAGGTGCCTGGTTGTAATGAGGCTGAACAATTAATACGTCACTCCTATGGCCATGACTAAATGCAGTTTCAAAGTACCCCAGAACCGCGTTCGAATTGTTCAGCCTCTTACACTACAGGAATGATATTGTAAACTTTATAGTAGGCTGTGCGTATGAAAAAGTGCTCTATTGTCGTTTCACTGTGAATCTTAATGTTGTGTCACCGGCCTCTTCACTGTGTGAAGATTCATGTTTTTCCTGGAAATGAGTTCGTTTCGCTCAAAGCGGCGCGCCATCCAGGCGCCAGTGATAGTTTTGACCCAGACACGACCCGGTGACCCCCTGCGCTTTTTTCAGGGCTCAAGCTAGCTAGCTAGCTATGAGAAGCTATGAGCACAGCGGCACTTTTGTCGCACGAGCACAGCGGAAAAGTGTGCGCCCGTGGGAAGCTTACAGTTGATTGCCAATTGTCCATCTTTTGTCCATGTATTCTGTGCTCCAAGTCTAAGTGTTCGGGAGGCGGCGTGCTTGGAATGTTATATATGTTTCTTCGGGTTCCCCAAGCAGTACCCAACCACTGCTTTGTGGACAGCAACGGGATTTTGGACAAAAGCAGGCAAGTTGGGACCCGGGTGCTGCCTGGTTCACCTTTTCAGGGGAGTTGAAACCAGTTCGTGACCTCTATCTTCTCGCTTAAGGCGCAAGCCGCCCACATCACAGGGGCGGCCCAGGGCTATCAGGACCGATGGATCTGGTTTGGAGCGTACCTGTTTTGGGGTGTCTTGAAGAAAATTCAGACCCATCATTTTGGCGGTTTTGTCTATTTTAAGACACGGCCATTTTGCTGACAGACGCTGAGGCATCACCAGAACACCAACACTAGAATTATTGTGTCTGTTAAAAGCACTCTTGTAGGGAAACACCACGGAGACGCCAAGACAAAACCCGACAACAAAGAAGGTTGTCGCTTTACCTGAACAAAGGAGGCTGCAGTTTTCGACCCAAAGCGTCCATGCGGCTTGCCGAAGCATGCCAGCATGTCAGGCAGCCATGGCCAGGGTTCGGGGGCTCGGATGCCAGCAGATTGGTATCGATTGGTAAAGGACAAACCAAAAGAAACCTCGTCCGCGCGGAATGGAACCTGAGGGGACGCTCGAGAAACTGACCGGGCCTCACTATAGTAGGGAACCAGCAGTTTCCTTGTTCTAAAGGCTTCGGATGGTTCCCTTGGTTACCTACTTGACAGGTGAATGGAATCACTGGGTTAGCTCACCTTTTTGTTTGGGAACAAGTCGGGACCATACTAATCCGAGAGATGTGTGCTAAGATTGGAGAAATGTGTCCTAAAATGGAGGAATGTTTTTCGATTCAGTATGGTCTTTTTAAATTCCAAGCTTGACATATCGCTGGTGTCCACTGTTTTTTTTTCCGCAGCAGAGAGAGGGAGAGAGACAGAACAAGGTGGAGGATCCAGCGTTTGGTTTCTGCTGTTTTCCCTCGGTGCTCAGGGAATGAGAAATGGAATGACCCTCATAAACCATCCCCTATGGTGTCCTCTAAAGGGAATCTCCTGGTTCCTTCCCTCATTCCCGGCCCTCTTTTGCTCGGACGATCTCGGGCCTTCAGAAAGGCCCAAACTTGGAGGTATCCAATGGGGCCCCGGGAAAAAAACAAGGAGCAAATGGAGGGCCGCGAACTTGAGTGGTTGTTTTTGGTCTTCAGGAGAACCGCAAGCATAGGTGTTCATTTAAGGTTAGTTTGCCTGGAAATAGTTGGGTTCCGCTGGTTAGATGGGTTTTACCATGTACGCGGGATAGGTCATCTATGATCGCCAGTTGTGCGGGTTGTCTTGGAGCGAGTTTCTCGTTGCAGGCTTATCGATCGAGACTTCGGGGATTTTGATATTTGTGGGGGGTTTGGGCCCAAGAATCGTCTCTGGGGGTTTGGGCCAGCTTTCAGGATTCGGTTCCGGGGGGTTCCGGGGGGTTCCGGGGCTGTTGGGGATACCACTTGGCAACACCCTAAGGATGCCAGCGTAGTGGCAGAGAACGTGCCGCGCATGGGCCACGAGCTCATTCCGGCCGCTGGTCGCTGCTGCAACCGCGGGGTGTGCTCCAGCGTGCAGTTGTTTTGTTGCTTTTTCTTTCTGAGGCTTCGACTTCCACAGATGAGCCAACCGCCCAAATTGGATGGCCAGCGAGCTGTGCGAGAAGAATCAAGAAAAGGCCAGTGAGCTTGCAGCATGTTTGCTAGATGGAAGGTATGTGCCCAAATGTCTTCTGGGTCCCTGCTCCGGAATGCCCAGCAGAAAGTGAGTTGAACCACGGGCAAACCAGGCCAAGCAACAGGTTTGCAACATGCGAATGCTGTAGAATTGAGAAGCCAGTTGGCACTGTTGATGTTCGTGGCCTTTGGCTCCAGAACTAGAGACACCTGGTTGCTAAGATCGCGTGTTTCAGATGGCGTGTGATCGGAATCGGAGAGAGGATTTTCGTGCGCAACCGTATTCGAACTGATCCTGGTGGGTGAACTTCTTGCCCGCTCGCTCAGTCTTGCGACCATCCTCGTTGGATGTGCTTGCTGCGCAAATGGCATGAGTCCCCACGAGATCAAGCAGGCGTCGTTGCACGAACCATCCGGGCAAAGACTGCCAGACTGTCACTGGTCTCATGGCAGCCAAATCTCGTTGCCTGTGCAGAAGTACCTCACAATTTCCACATGTAAAGTCAAAAAGAGCGTTGTGGGGTGGACGACTTGCCCAATGAATGGCTCACGAAATGGATGAGAGCAGAATCATATTTGCAGTTTCAGAGCGCATGCGCGCGCAGGGGCAAAGCTGGCCAGGCGCTTCCGCAGCCCTGCGGAAGCGCCTGGCAGCAGGAGTCCGCGGATTCCCCGTAGTAGCACGCGAGTCCGCAGAACCTTCGCGCGTTTTTTCAAGACAGCCCAAACTCGCGGGTCGGTGTGATTCTTCCGGCAGGTGCCTAAGTGCCTGGGGCAATCAGCCAGAGACCTGCCCACAGCCAATGACAAGGCAGATCTGCTGCCTCAAAAGTCAGCGTGGCTGAGGCCTGGCGGCCTTTCAATGAAGGGCTGCCAGGATCACGCCAACTGCGCATGTGGTTGCCCCGGGCGCAAGGTGTTCGAAACCATCTTAGGCAGCCCCTGATTTGGCTGCGGTTTGCGCGCAGGAGCCGTGCCAAAGGAACTGCAAGGATCGGCGAGGATGCGTGTCACGCAACAAGAACACCAAGCCGGCCGGAAGCAATGTTTCCGCCGGGAGTCCAGATTGCTGGGGACAGCTTCGCCTTGTTTTCCCTCAGGGCTTGTGCGTCCAAGCGTGGATGTGTGTGGAGGTGCATGGCGGCGGCTGACGTACTGGTGCCATTTGTTCTTTGGAGTTGCACAGCTTCCATGCCTTCTGACCCAGCTGTACTCCTCCCGGGGTGATGCTGAACATGGAATTGCTAGCAAGCAGGCCTGACCCTTGAGTGTCGGCTCACCATAGCGTCAACCCCGCCAACTAAACCATACTAATCCATGACAAGGCCCTGTTCCTCAACCAAAGGCACACAAAGTGCAATGCCACCAATGTGCAAACCTGGCCCAAAGCACGCTATGGACCCCGGGAACAACATGACGAAGATGTGCAGTTTCCTTTTTCTCCGTTTGTCGACAGCTGCTCGCCAGACCTTTGCAAAGCAATGCGAGAAGCAAGAGCTGGCTGAGCCTGGCGACTGTGTGGGCACGCGGACCTGCATCGCTGCGCACAGCTGGGTATCAACGGGCCCGCCCATGCATCTTCCATTGGGATCCACGTCGCAAGGCTGACGCAGGTTGTGCCAAATCAAGAAGACACATTCTAAGCCGGCCGGTTGTCTGCCTGATATCATGGCGATTCAAGAAGCTGTACCTACTTGACGGTTGGCAAGTTGGCAACTGCACAGTGACGCAGCGCACTAGCTGCAGGGCCAAGACAAACGCCCATGCCTCGAACTTGGAACGCTGTAGAGAGGTGCCTTTTGCAAACTGGTGCATGTTCCTTGCCTCGGTTGCCTCAGAGAGGCACCCTGGCAGAGACTTGCCCGCCCTTGTCGCACAGCAGAGGCTTGTAGAGATGCGTGGCTTAGCTTAAACATTTTTCCGCAGAGCGGCATTTAGGCATCAAGGGGGCCAAGGCAAATGCAGCGTCCAGGATCAAGCTAGACTCAGACTGAGAGCTGATTGGGGGGCCAGAAACCCTGTGCCTCAAGCCAAAAGCCAAGGCCCGCAAAGTGCAATGCCACCAACGTGCAAACCTGGCCCAAAGCACGCACTGGGCCCCGGGAACAACATGATGAATGTGTGCAGCTTCCTTATTCTCCGTTTGTTGACAGCTGCTCGCCAGACCCTTGCAAAGCAATGCGCAAAGCAAGAACTGGCTGATCCTGGCGACTGAGTGGGCGCGCGGACCTGCATCGCTGCGCACAGCTGGGTGTAAACCGGGCCCGCCCATGCATCTTCCATTGGGATCCACGTAGCAAGGATGACGCAGGTTGTGCCAAGTCAACAAGACACATTCTAAGCCAGTGGCAGGTTGTCTGCCTGATGCCATGGCAATTCAAGAAGCTGCAGCTACTTGACGGTTGGCAAGTTGGCAACTGCACAATGACGCAGCGCACCAGCTGCGGGGCCAAGACAAACGCCCATGCCTCGAACTTGGAACGCTCGTAGAGAGGTGCCTTTTGCAAACTGGTGCATGTTCCTTGCCTCGGTTGCCTCAGAGAGGCACCCTGGCACCTTCGCAGCATTTCGCAGCCTTTAGCAGAGACTTGCCCGCCCTTGTCGCACAGCAGAGGCTTGTAGAGATGCGTGGCTTGGCTTAAACATTTTTCCGCACAGCGGCATTTAGGCATCATGGGGGCCAAGGCAAATGCAGCGTCCAGGATCAAGTCAGACTGAGAGCTGATTGGGGGGCCAGAAACCCTGTGCCTCAAGCCAAAAGCCAAGGCCCGCAAAGTGCAATGCCACCAACGTGCAAACCTGGCCCAAAGCACACACTGGGCCCCGGGATTAACATGATGAATGTGTGCAGCTTCCTTATTCTCCGTTTGTCGACAGCTGCTCGCCAGACCCTTGCAAAGCAATGCGCGAAGCAAGAACTGGCTGATCCTGGCGACTGAGTGGGCGCGCGGACCTGCATCGCTGCGCACAGCTGGGTGTAAACCGGGCCCGCCCATGCATCTTCCATTGGGATCCACGTAGCAAGGATGACGCAGGTTGTGCCAAATCAACAAGACACATTCTAAGCCAGTGGCAGGTTGTCTGCCCGATGCCATGGCGATTCAAGAGCTGCAGCTTCTTGACCGTTGCAAAGTGGACAACTGCTTCCTTTTTCTCCGTTTGTCGACAGCTGCTCGCCAGACCTTTGCAAAGCAATGCGCGAAGCAAGAACTGGCTGAGCTTGGCAACTTAGTGGGCGCGTCGTCTCGATTCACTCGGTGACAGTCCGCGCGCCACCTTTTCAGCTTCCTGGTCTGCACGCAAAAGCAAAACATGTGTCCGAGGTCGCTAATGATATTTCCGTCTTTCTCATAGCCAGTCGGAGAGGTTACATGCGCAGCTGCTTTGCGCAAGCGGCTTGCTTGGCGCGCAAGGAGGGAGACCTGCAGTTTGGGAAGCCGCAAAGGACGCGCCTTCTTTCAGCAGATGCGCCTCTTGTAACAGCAGTCAGATGGAACAGCAGTCAGATGGAACTCGTTTGAAACACAACAAGTCGCAACAGGCAGTCCCAGCATTCCTGCAAAATGGGCTGACTGGCATTTGCCTTCAGCCCACACATCCATCCGATTCTAGCCGAGCGAGGTGAAACCTGTAAAGCAGTAACCTATGATTTCCCCTAGCACTTTGCCAGACACCTCTTGCAAGCTATTTGCAGCAACTCGGGGCAGTATTTCCTATTTGGAATCAGGGCCCCAACACTCTTTTTGCTGTGGCTTGCTGGGACCTTGCACCTGTGTGATGCTTTTGCTTGCAAAGCTTGCAGCTCAACGCTCGCGGCGGAAGCTTCCGCGACGGAAGGCGCAGCGAGGCATGTCTCGGAGGCAGTTGCCTGCTCCGGAATGCCCTGCAGCAAGTGAGTTGAAGCATGGGCAAATGCTGTAGAATTGAGAAGCCAGTTGGCGCTGTTGATGTTCGTGGCCTTTGGCTCCAGAACTAGAGACACCTGGTTGCTAAGATCGCGTGTTTCAGATGGCGTGTGATCGGAATCGGAGAGAGGATTTTCGTGCGCAACCGTATTCGAACTGATCCTGGTGGGTGAACTTCTCGCCCGCTCGCTCAGTCTTACGACCATCCTCGTTGGATGTGCTTGCTGCGCAAATGGCATGAGTCCCCACGAGATCAAGCAGGCGTCGTTGCACGAACCATCCGGGCAAAGACTGCCAGACTGTCACTGGTCTCATGGCAGCCAAATCTCGTTGCCTGTGCAGAAGTACCTCACAATTTCCACATGTAAAGTCAAAAAGAGCGTTGTGGGGTGGACGACTTGCCCAATGAATGGCTCGCCAAATGGATGAGTGACTAAGTGCCTGGGGCAATCAGCCAGAGACCTGCCCACAGCCAATGACACGGCAGATCTGCTGCCTCAAAAGTCAGCATGGCTGAGGCCTGGCGGCCTTTCAATGAGGGGCTGCCAGGATCACGCCAACTGCCGGGCGCAAGGTTTGTTCGAAACCATCTTAGGCAGCCCCCTGATTTGGCTGCGGTTGAACTGCAAGGATCGGCGAGGATGCGTGTCACGCAACAAGAACACCAAGCCGGCCGGAAGCAATGTTTCCGCCGGGAGTCCAGATTGCTGGGGACAGCTTCGCCTTGTTTTCCCTCAGGGCTTATGCGTCCAAGCGTGGATGTGTGTGGAGGTGCATGGCGGCGGCTGACGTACTGGTGCCATTTGTTCTTTGCAGTTGCACAACTTCCATGCCTTCTGACCCAGCTGTACTCCTCCCAGGGTGATGCTGAACATAGAATTGCTAGCAAGTAGGCCTGACCCTTGAGTGTCGGCTCGCCATAGCGTCAACCCCGCCAACTAAACCATACTAATCCATGACCAGGCCCTGTTCCTCAACCAAAGGCACACAAAGTGCAATGAACATGATGAAGGTGTGCAGCTTCCTTTTCTCCGTTTGTCGACAGCTGCTCGCCAGACCTTTGCAAAGCAATGCGCGAAGCAAGAACTGGCTGATCCTGCGACTGCGTGGGCGCGCGGACCTGCATCGCTGCGCACAGCTGGGTGTAAACCGGGCCCGCCCATGCATCTTTCATTGGGATCCACGTAGCAAGGCTGATCAAGAAGACACATTCTAAGCCAGTGGCAGGTTGTCTGCCCGATGCCATGGCATGCCATGGCGATTCAAGAGCTGCAGCTTCTTGACCGTTGCCAAGTGGACAACTGCACAGTGACGCGGCGCACTAGCTGCAGGGCCAAGACAAACGCCCATGCCTCGAACTTGGAACGCTGTAGAGAGGTGCCTTTTGCAAACTGGTGCATGTTCCTTGCCTCGGTTGCCTCAGAGAGGCACCCTGGCAGAGACTTGCCCGCCCTTGTCGCACAGCAGAGGCTTGTAGAGATGCGTGGCTTAGCTTAAACATTTTTCCGCAGAGCGGCATTTAGGCATCAAGGGGGCCAAGGCAAATGCAGCGTCCAGGATCAAGCTAGACTCAGACTGAGAGCTGATTGGGGGGCCAGAAACCCTGTGCCTCAAGCCAAAAGCCAAGGCCCGCAAAGTGCAATGCCACCAACGTGCAAACCTGGCCCAAAGCACACACTGGGCCCCGGGATTAACATGATGAAGGTGCGCAGCTTCCTTATTCTCCGTTTGTCGACAGCTGCTCGCCAGACCTTTGCAAAGCAATGCGCGAAGCAAGAACTGGCTGAGCCTGGCGACTGAGTGGGCTGCATCGCTGCGCACAGCTGGGTGTAAACCGGGCCCGCCCATGCATCTTCCATTGGGATCCACGTAGCAAGGCTGACGCAGGTTGTGCCAAATCAAGAAGACACATTCTAAGCCAGTGGCAGGTTGTCTGCCCGATGCCATGGCATGCCATGGCGATTCAAGAGCTGCAGCTTCTTGACCGTTGCAAAGTGAACAACTGCTTCCTTTTTCTCTGTTTGTCGACAGCTGCTCGCCAGACCCTTGCATAGCAATACGCGAAGCAACAACTGGCTGAGCCTGGCGACTGAGTGGGCGCGCGGACCTGCATCGCTGGTGTAAACCGGGCCCGCCCATGCATCTTTCATTGGGATCCACGTAGCCAGGCTCACGCAGGTTGTGCCAAATCAATAAGACACATTCTAAGCCAGTGGCAGGTTGTCTGCCCGATGCCATGGCATGCCATGGCGATTCAAGAGCTGCAGCTTCTTGACCGTTGCCAAGTGGACAACTGCACAGTGACGCGGCGCACTAGCTGCAGGGCCAAGACAAACGCCCATGCCTCGAACTTGGAACGCTCGTAGAGAGGTGCCTTTTGCAAACTGGTGCATGTTCCTTGCCTCGGTTGCCTCAGAGAGGCACCCTGGCACCTTCGCAGCATTTCGCAGCCTTTAGCAGAGACTTGCCCGCCCTTGTCGCACAGCAGAGGCTTGTAGAGATGCGTGGCTTAGCTTAAACATTTTTCCGCAGAGCGGCATTTAGGCATCATGGGGGCCAAGGCAAGGGCTTGCAGCGTCGTAACATGTTCGTTTTATTACCTGCACGGATTGCGTGGCAATAGTTAAAAATTCGTTCGAGCTTTGCCACACGGATTCCGGCCGCCGATCTGAAGTTCTTGTCGGCATGTCGTTGCGGCTCGCGCGCAGTGCGTTTGCACCTGTCCCTCACGCCTCGCCCCCATACCCAGCTCTGAGCGCCTTTCGGACAATTGCTGGCGCAAATCGAAGAAGCACGTCGTGGAAGCACGCAAGTCAGAATCGCGCGTGCTGACTACACTCTTTCTGCGGTTTAGGTCTCCAGTTGATCCTCGGGCATGCGCTTGCTGGCTCTTGAAAGCAAGCTAGCCTTGCACTGACGGCCAAATACAAACCGCCAGCCGTATATCGCACACAGCTCGCAACCCCTAGGGTAGATATGGTAGATCATAAGCCAGTCAAGAACTGCTATACATCAAATGTGCGCGAAACCTGAGAGCCACTACGCAAGCCTTCAGTCCGTAGAGCTCAACTTTTGCACTTGTTTGTCACTCCCTAATGTGGCTCGACAGTGAGCAGCATTTGCTGGTCTGCTCGTTGCGTTTGTATTCTCTGGATTGAGGCAGTGTTTCCTTAGAGTAGGCCTGAGCTGTAGCTCCGTGTCGGACTCCGCAGCTGTGAGTCCTGTTCCATCATCCATGCTTCCTGGTCTGCACGCAAAAGCAAAACATGTGTCCGAGGTAGCTAATGATATTTCCGACTTTCTCATAGCCAGTCGGAGAGGTTACATGCGCAGCTGCTTTGCGCAAGCGGCTTGCTTGGCGCGCAAGGAGGGAGACCTGCAGTTTGGGAAGCCGCAAAGGGCGCGCCTTCTTTCAGCAGATGCGCCTCTTGTAACAGCAGTCAGATGGAACAGCAGTCAGATGGAACTCGTTTGAAACACAACAATTCGCAACAGGCAGTCCCAGCATTCCTGCAAAATGGGCTGATTAGGCATTTGCCTTCAGCCCACACATCCATCCGATTATGCCCAGCGTTTTGGTAGCCGAGCGAGGTGAAACCTGTAAAGCTGTAACCTATGATTTCCCCTAACACTTTGCCAGACACCTCTTGCAAGCTATTTGCAGTATTTCCTATTTGGAATCAGGGCCCCAACACTCTTTTTGATGTGGCTTGCTGGGACCTTGCGCCTGTGTGATGCTTTTGCTTGCAAAGCTTGCAGCTCAACACTCACGGCGGAAGCTTCCGCGACGGCAGGCGCAGCGAGGCATGTCTCGGCAGGTGCCACGTTCGGACAACTCGGGGCAACTTGTGCTTCGGCCATCCTCAAAACTTGGAGCGAGTGGAACTTGAAAGAGAGGCTTGCAATAGCCACGCCTCTCGATCAAGCATGTCAAGCTGTGCTTGCAAGACAGACCGTAGAGGCCGGGTTGCGCAGCTGTCATTGCAGCTGTGCCATCGGTCAAGCATGTGAAGCCGCGCTGGCAGCACAGACCTTTAGGCACAATTGTCATTGCAGCTGTCCTGTCGGTCAAGCATGTGAAGCCATACTTGCAAGACTGACCAAACAGGCCCACGCCATTGTCATTGCAGCTGTTCCCTCGGTGAAGCAAAGCAGTCGCTGGCATTGGGCACCCCAGGTGGAACGAAACAGAACGTGGGAAGCAGCAACAAGCTCACTTCGTCATAGTCGCCAGTTGGAGGCCAGCCACGGCGACCGACTGAAGGCGCTGCCAGGCAGCAGGCTACCACCCAAGCGTCGCCGGCCAAGATGCTGTTAGGAAAGGCACAGGTCGGTGAGAAGTCGCCGCAGCAGTCAAGGCGGGGTGAGGGCCAGTGAAAAGAGGAGGGGGCCCGGAGATGCCCTGATGCACCCCCGCAAGTTCAACAAGAAGTATGGTGTCCGGTTGCCTTTGTTCTTAAGTCGGTTTCCCGTTAAAGTCAACCCACCCAATAAAAAGAGTGTGTCTTTGCGGCATGTGGGAGTTTGGCGACGCATTTTGAAGGAACCATTTCCGAGATTTTGGGAGTGTCACTCTAATGGACCTGGCAGAGTGATCAAATTGGGATGGTTTGGTTCCTGCGAGACTCGCCCACCCACCCAGTCCCCCAGTTCCGCCTACAGTAGGGCAAGCGTGGTTGACCTCTACCCAGATCACCAAGTCGCTGCTTTTTGTCCAGACCTTTTACCCTGAGAACAGTCACAGTTGCTGGAGCCAAAAAAACAGCAACTGGCGCGACCAGGTGTTAAACCATTGGATTATGCTTTCAACCAATACTGGTCGCCGGTTGTGGCCCACCGTGTTGTGTTTTCTTATTTTTCTCTTCTTCTTGTTTTTTAATATTTTTTTGGGAGGCTTCGACTTCTCCAGATGAGCCAACAGCCCAAATGGGATGGCCAGCGAGCAGTGCACAAAGTGGAAAAGGCCAGTGTGCTTGCAGCATGTTTGCCGAACTTTCTTTCGCACCCCTGCCCTGCCCTGCCCAGCGCGGCAGCAGGTTCCAAGGATTTTGAACTCAAGCGAGTTGAACCACGGGAAAACCAGGCCAAGCTTTCAGTCAGAGGTTGTTTGTTGAGTCAGCATGTTTTGTTGAAGCTGCCACAGCCACAGGTCTAAGCGCCTCAGGTGAATTAAGCCAGCAAGACTTCAGGAATTTCGCTACTGGTTTTCCCCAGCAGAGAGAGGGAGAGAGAGACAGAACAAGGGGGAGGATCCAGCGTTTGTTTTCTGTTGTTGAGAAATGGAATGACCCTCATAGACCATCCCCTATGGCCCTATGGTGTCCTTCAAAGGGAATCGCCTGGTTCCTTCCCTCATTTTCGGCCCTTTCTTGCTCGGACGATCTCGGGCCTTCAGAAAGGCCCAAAGTTGGAGGTATCCAATGGGGGCCCCGGGGAAAAAAAAGGAGCAAATGGAGGGTCCGCGTGGTCTTCAGGAGAATCGCTAGCATAGCGAGCTGTGCGAGAAGAATCAAGAAAAGGCCAGTGAGCTTGCAGCATGTTTGCTAGATGGTATGTGCCCAAATGTCTTCTGGGTCCCTGCTCCGGAATGCCCAGCAGAAAGTGAGTTGAACCACGGGCAAACCAGGCCAAACAACAGGTTTGCAACATGCGAATGCTGTAGAATTGAGAAGCCAGTTGGCACTGTTGATGTTCGTGGCCTTTGGCTCCAGAACTAGAGACACCTGGTTGCTAAGATCGCGTGTTTCAGATGGCGTGTGATCGGAATCGGAGAGAGGATTTTCGTGCGCAACCGTATTCGAACTGATCCTGGTGGGTGAACTTCTTGCCCGCTCGCTCAGTCTTGCGACCATCCTCGTTGGATGTGCTTGCTGCGCAAATGGCATGAGTCCCCACGAGATCAAGCAGGCGTCGTTGCACGAACCATCCGGGCAAAGACTGCCAGACTGTCACTGGTCTCATGGCAGCCAAATCTCGTTGCCTGTGCAGAAGTACCTCACAATTTCCACATGTAAAGTCAAAAAGAGCGTTGTGGGGTGGACGACTTGCCCAATGAATGGCTCACGAAATGGATGAGAGCAGAATCATATTTGCAGTTTCAGAGCGCATGCGCGCGCAGGGGCAAAGCTGGCCAGGCGCTTCCGCAGCCCTGCGGAAGCGCCTGGCAGCAGGAGTCCGCGGATTCCCCGTAGTAGCACGCGAGTCCGCAGAACATTCTTGTCTTTTCAAGACAGCCCAAGCTCGCGAACAGGCGGCAGGGGTGCCCAGGGCAATCAGCCAGAGACCCGCCCAGCGCAGCCAATCTTGACAAGGCAGCAGATCTGCTGCCTCAAAAGTCAGCGTGGCTGAGGCCTGGCGGCCTTTCAATGAGAAGGGGCTGCCAGGCTCACGCCATCTGCGCATGTGATTGTTTTCACCCCGGGCGCAAGACTTGTTCGAAACCATCTTAGGCGGCCCCCTGATTTGGCAGCGGTTTGCGTGCAGGAGCCGTAACAAAGGAACTTCAAGGATCGGCGAGGATGCGTGTCACGCAACAAGAACACCAAGGCGGCCGGAAGCAAAGTCTCCTCCTGGAGTCCAGATTGCTGTCCTGTCACCTGTCACCAGCTTCGCCTTGTTTTCTCTAAGGGCTTGTGCGTCCAAGCGTGGATGTGTGTGGAGGTGCATGGCGGCGGCTGACGTACTTGTGCCATTTGTTCTTTGCAGTTGCACAGCTTCCATGCCTTCTGACCCAGCTGTACTCCTCCCGGGGTGATGCTGAACATAGAATTGCTAGCAAGTACGCCTGACCCTTGAGTGTCGGCTCACCATAGCGTCAACCCCGCCAACTAAACCATACTAATCCATGACCAGGCCCTGTTCCTCAACCAAAGGCACACAAAGTGCAATGCCACCAATGTAAAAACCTGGCCCAAAGCAGCTGCTCGCCAGACCTTTGCAAAGCAATGCGAGAAGCAAGAGCTGGCTGAGCCTGGCGACTGAGTGGGCGCGCGGACCTGCATCGCTGCGCACAGCTGCGTGTAAACCGGGCCCGCCCATGCATCTTCCATTGGGATCCACGTAGTAAGGCTCACGCAGGTTGTGCCAAATCAAGAAGACACATTCTAAGCCAGTGGCAGGTTGTCTGCCCGATGCCATGGCGATTCAAGAGCTGCAGCTTCTTGACCGTTGCCAAGTGGACAACTGCACAGTGACGCGGCGCACTAGCTGCAGGGCCAAGACAAACGCCCATGCCTCGAACTTGGAACGCTCGTAGAGAGGTGCCTTTTGCAAACTGGTGCATGTTCCTTGCCTCGGTTGCCTCAGAGAGGCATCCTGGCCCCTTCGCAGCCTTTAGCAGAGACTTGCCCGCCCTTGTCGCACAGCAGAGGCTTGTATACGCGTGGCTTGGCTTAAACATTTTTCCGCACAGCGGCATTTAGGCATCATTGGGGCCAAGGCAAATTCAGCGTCCAGGATCAAGCTAGACTCAGACTGAGAGCTGCTTGGGGGGCCAAAAACCCTGTGCCTCAAGCCAAAGCCAAGGCCCGCAAAGTGCAATGCCACCAACGTGCAAACCTGGCCAAAAGCATGCACTGGGCCGTGGGAACAACATGATTGAGGTGTGCAGCTTCCTTATTCTCCGTTTGTCCACAGCTGCTCCCCAGACCTTTGCAAAGCAATGCGCGAAGCAAGAACTGGCTGATCCTGGCGACTGAGTGGGCGCGTGGACCTGCATCGCTGCGCACAGCTGGGTGTAAACCGGGCCCGCCCATGCATCTTCCATTGGGATCCACGTAGCAAGGATGACGCAGGTTGTGCCAAATCAAGAAGACACATTCTAAGCCAGTGGCAGGTTGTCTGCCCGATGCCATGGCGATTCAAGAGCTGCAGCTTCTTGACCGTTGCCAAGTGAACAACTGCTTCCTTTTTCTCCGTTTGTCGACAGCTGCTCGCCAGCCTTTGCAAAGCAATGCGCGAAGCAACAACTGGCGCAGCCTGGCGACTGAGTGGGCGCGCGGACCTGCATCGCTGCGCACAGCTGGGTGTAAACCGGGCCCGCCCATGCATCTTCCATTGGGATCCACGTAGCAAGGCTCACGCAGGTTGTGCCAAATCAAGAAGACACATTCTAAGCCAGTGGCAGGTTGTCTGCCCGATGCCATGGCGATTCAAGAGCTGCAGCTTCTTGACCGTTGCCAAGTGGACAACTGCACAGTGACGCGGCGCACTAGCTGCAGGGCCAAGACAAACGCCCATGCCTCGAACTTGGAACGCTCGTAGAGAGGTGCCTTTTGCAAACTGGTGCATGTTCCTTGCCTCGGTTGCCTCAGAAAGGCATCCTGGCACCTTCGCAGCCTTTAGCAGAGACTTGCCCGCCCTTGTCGCACAGCAGAGGCTTGTAGGGATGCGTGGCTTGGCTTAAACATTTTTCCGCACAGCGGCATTTAGGCATCATGGGAGCCAAGGCAAGGGCTTGCAGCGTCTTAACATGTTCGTTCCTGGAGGCCCAATTGATGCAGAAATTGTTGCTCGAGTGTTTTTCGCAGAAAAAATGCCCGAAACGTTCCTGGGAGCCAGCGACTTGGCGCTAGTGTCGTGACCAGAATTGGGTTGGGCAGTTGTTGAAATCGCGCTCGGTTGCACGGATTTGCGCCCGAGTTGCGCGAAATTGCGCCCGAAGTTGCGCCGAACTGCGCTCGAAACGCGGTGCGCATTTCGGGCCAAGCTGTTTTCAACACTCCCAGGCACTCCAATGTTGGTGCTATTTGCCAACATTCGCGAACGTTGGCCTGAGAAGGAACATTGGGGTTTATAGGGCCAATGTTGCTCTGAGAGGCATACATCCAAAATGATGAATGTACCCCAAATTTGGCATACATTTGGCCCAGATGTATGCCAAAAAGCATACATTCAGTCCGACAATCATGCCAAATCACGCTCAATCACGCCCAATCACGCCCAATCACGGCATAAATCATAGATTCGATAATCCCAATGCTGCCAAATTTTGCCTACATACCGAATGTTGCTCTGAGAGGCTACATTTGAATGTTAGTAAATATGACCAACATGGAGTGTGTGGGCTGTACTGTTCGTTTCCAATCGGGCAGAAAAATGCGCTCGAACTCCGAAAATGCAATTGAGCAGTTTTTTCTGTGTCAATTGGGCCTCCAGGTTTTATTACCTGCACGGATTGCGTGGCAATAATTAAAAAATCGTTCGAGCTTTGCCACACGGATTCCGGCCGCCGATCTGAAGTTCTTGTCGGCATGTCGTTGCGGCTCGCGCGCAGTGCGTTTGCACCTGTCCCTCACGCCTCGCCCCCATACCCAGCTC